AAACTACAACGACAAAACATACAAATAGATTTAAAAACATTACAGACGTATGAACTGTACAAACAATACAAACTAGACCGACAAACAATACAAACCTTACAAAAAAGAAAAAACAACCGGGTTGACTTTGGAGGCTCCATCCCTATATAGAGGGCTCCGTCCCAAAGTCAATCCAATTGTTTTTTAGATATACAAATATTACGAACATGGTGAAGAAAAAATGACAAACTAGACCGACAATCCATACAAACTGGAAAATCACCCGGGTTTATTGTCAATTGCCTTAGGCAGTCTTTTTCTGTTTTCCTCTTTGTGTTGAGTTGATTTGCTGTAAGAGGGATTTGGGCTTTTAGCCTCTGTATTTTTCGAGGCTCTTTGCTTGTTGGCAGAGAGTTTGTTGCTTAATGATAACCGCTAGTTACCGGGGAAAAAAAACACCCGATTGACTTTGGAACCTCCATCCCTATATAGAATAATTTCATCCAAAAGTCAACCAGGTTATTTTTTAGACATAAAAAACATTATTAACATGGTTGACAAAAATAATAAACATGGTGCACAAAAATAACAAAGTTTACAAACATTATAAAAGAAACCGACAAACATTACAAAATAACAAAGCTTACAAACATTACAAAATAACAAAGCTTACAAACATTACAAAATAAACCGACAAACAGTACAAAGCATACTAACCGTACAAAACGTCACTAAAAATGACAAAGAAGAATGATAAACAATACAAACGGAATCGATACAAACATTACAAAATATGTCAACCAACATCACAAATCTAGCACTGTCGCCAGGAAATCCTTCTCCGTCGTCGATGGTCGTCGGAAAAGTTCCCTCTGGTCAGAAAAAATCTCTCTCTCTCTCTCTCTCTCTCTCTCTCTCTCTCTCTCTCGTGATTGTCTGGGGGTCTCTCTCTCGTGGCTGTCTGGGGGTTTGGGGGAAAAGGGGCAAAAAGGCCACCACCGCCGCCACTGAGAAACATAAACGGACGGCGGGCGGGAGGGAGCGAAACGGACGGCGGGCGGGAGGGAGCGAAACGGACGCGGGCGGGAGGTAGATTAAATAATGTAATTACTAACTTACTCTTCATTAATGTAGATTAATTTGAACCATCAGATTTTAATAAACTTCAATGATTTAGTCATGTGACTAATGGACCCCCCTTAGTCACCTGATTTTAACCCACCTTAGTCCGAGTTGGTCATGAAGGAAAATTGAAGAATATGACAAAAGAAACAAACCTAGAACTGATTCGGAGAACATTGAGGTGCTGATACCCAACACACCAATATAGACCTCCCTGCTGCAGCCCGACACCCTATCACTGAAACTCACGGATAACAAAATAACCTAATTTTCAACTGATTATAACCGATACATGATGGAAAGATGAGATCGATACATGAAGGAAAGAAGAGATTGCAAGAGGAACCAACCAATACCATTACTGCGACCTCCACCGAGCACTGAGAACCGATTTGGAGAGGATGTTAACAACCTAGACACATTAAAATCCCGAAGACAATAAGAACCTAGACTTCATCTATACAGAACCCTCAACCCCCAAAAATTCCTACTTCAAGCTGCAAACAGACAGTGAAATTACCAATCCACAGAGATTTCATAAATAACCTTGGTTCGATCCCTCAACCGCTGCTTCAAATCGCTGGCACCCAAATCCCCTTCTTCAATCCGCTCTTCGTCGGTGGAGGACATATCTGGCGGCAACCGCTACTTCAAATCGCCGGCACCCAAATCCTCTTCTTCAATCCGCTCTTCGTCGGCGGAGGACATATCTGGCGAGTATTTCGTTGCTGCCCTGCGGTTGGTGCCTCCCGTCGGGGCTGGCCTCTTGTTATCGCCTACATTCTTGGAAGACAATAACTCCACGAACGAAGTAGAAAGCTCACCCGAGAATTACCGACCACGATCCCAACCTGTCTGACAATAAAGGATTGACCAAATTGCTTTCCCTGATTTTTACCCTTTGTCCATGAAAGCATTACTTCACCAAAGCATTTACCAAGCCTTACTCAGCAGCAAGTTTCTCTACGGACAACCACTGCAATATCACTGTGATGGCGAGAAGGTTGCAGCGACGTCAGCGGTTCCAGAAGATCAATGAACGGGCATCAGAAACCAAAGCAAGCTTCTTTGAGGACGACCACTTGTCTCAATTGGGCCGAGACAGAAATCAGGCCCAAACAATACATCTGCAGCTAGGGGTGGGCAATGGTCGGGTTGGGTGGATTTTCGTCTCAAATTTCCTAGCGAGTTGGAATAATTATGACCCGCAATCCACCCACATTCTTCTGCGGGTCGGGTTGGGTGAATGACGGATGGATGCGGTTGGGTCGTGCATTAACCCGCAAAAATAATTCTCCAACAAGCTATTAAGAACGTTGACTAACATTTATAATAAGCTCATAGCAAATTAGGAAGACTGTATCAATTTAGACACTTCTCACTTTGTCTGAAGTGAATCCATGTAGTATTTGTATAAAAACATTTACGACTCTAACATCCAATTGTGTAGAGAAACTTACGCATTATTTGATTTTGATACAATTTATAATTTATAATTTTCATCCCAATATTTAATGGATATTAACAATAATTCACATTCAAATATCCAATATCTAATAGATATTACACAAAACAATATCCAATAATAATAGTCAAAACTATTTTTTTCTCCACCTTTAGAAATATATGGTGAGACTGTAGTGTGGTTCGGAAATATGATGAATATTCGATACTATAAGAAAAAATATTTTTTCGTGTGAAAATATGATGCGGGTCATTCGGGTTATCCGCAATTCACCCACCATCCACCCACATAAATGCGGGTGGAAGATTCATCAATCCACAATCTACCCACATCAATCACCCAATACTTGCGGGTCGGGTTATTTGCGGGTGGATCGATATCAAGCCGCGGATTAACCACCCACGTGCCCACCCCTATCTGCAGCCCCCAATCCAAAACTATAATTTTCTCCACTCCCCAAAATGCCCCTCCACAAAACGCTATTGAAGGCAGGGATTTTTAAATGAGGTTGTTTTCTCATCTTGGTATTAATTAAAGTACTAGCTTATAACCCGGCCCGTTGACCGGAATGTTCATATTTGTTATTTATATTTGTATGTTACCTTTAAGTTTGTCAACCTGTTTCAGTATATTGACAATCCTTTGATGATACATAAAGATTATAAGTCGAAATTCGGAGAAATACCTTAATTGTTTAAGAATATAAAAATGTATCCTTAATCTCGTTTGCATAATGATAATTAAGCTCCCACTAAAATGCTATTGGTTGGTTGATTGCCAAGAAAGAGTATAAAAGCTCACTGGAATTCCACACAATACATAGATAGTTTGAAACGAAACCGAAACCTCACAACCTACACAAAGGGTTTAATGCTCTCATTTTAGAGCAACATGCCACTAATCAGAGGATAAGAAAAGTTACCCTCAAGTCAACCATAAACTAACAACTCAGTAAACGAAGACCATAAAAACTTCAGACCAAACGAAAAAATTAGGGTAACCTCCTATATAGTAATAGGTTGGATCAAAGTAAGGCACAAAATTAAACACTCCTTATCTACCGCTTGCAGTAGCTTGAATGCTCTGGAGGCATAAATTTTTTAATGGGGTTGTTGTTTTCTCATCTCACTATTAATTAAAGTATAGATAGATAGATGATAAACCCTAAATAGTACGCATGATTTAACCGATACAATTGACCATAACAATATGATAGTGTTATGCATCATCAGCAAAAAAAAAAAAAAAAAAAAAAAAGATCTAACGTATACATTATGGTTTTCAAAATATAGACCAAGCGACAAGCACTGAAACTACGTTGCAACTTTCAGCGAATCCTCCCAGCTGCCTAGCTTCACCCTGGGCTTGTTCTTCAGGCTCCCATGTTTCCTCTCTTCACAGTCTATCTTCTCCCATCCACTTAACGACACGACTCGCACATTCCTATCGTCGAGCAACTGTAGAACTTCTCTGCTGGGCTTCATCGAGCTAGATGGTGATGCTATCAAGCCATGTTCAAGGTCGTGCGATATGCTCGCCACCTTTCATTGTCAACCACGCACACGAAGTTAATCAGCCAGTTAAACTAATGATGAAAAATAGAAACTTTCCATGGATTGTTGAAGCATACAGTTTCTTCTACGCAGTGTAGGTGATAAGAATCTGAGCTCGTGAAAGCTTAGGTTCTTCTATCAAAGTCGCGTGGCTTCGATCTTTTTAGGGTTTTCTGGAGGCTAAATTAGACGATTGGTCACTCAAATTATACAAATCTTTCACGTTTGCCACTCAAATTACTTTTCTTTCTTATTCGCCATTGACTTTACGAATCATTTCACCGTTAGCACTAGCTGTTAGTCTCCATTAACTCTGTCAACTTTTTGATGATGTGGCAAACGAAATTGCTTACTAGACCGCTAAATTAATACCAAGTCAATTTTAAAAAAAATTAAAAAATTAAAAAAATAATAATAGCCTTCCCTTCCTCTTCTTCCCTTCTCTCTCCTCGCCCCTCCGCCGCTACTTCTCATTGTCACTCTCCATCTGCTCTCGCTCGACGGTGCCGCCGTCCATAAGAAGAAAACTGCCAATTCTCGTCCGATTAATCTCCGGCGACGGTGCGTAAAATTCTCCCCACTACCAAATCGAGACTTGAAATACTTACAGACCTTACTTTTACTTCAATTTATTTGCAAACTTGAGGGGGAAAATGATGGTGATAATGATAAAAGGAATTGACACAATAAAAAAGAAACCCAGTACCATCTAGATTGATGATTGATGATTTTGGAAGGAAGGAAAATCTAAAGAGGTCTCTCAGTACCCGTTTAATTCTCACCCCTCCCCTGCTTTCAAGAGGCCGAAACGTTTTTGTCACTGTTTTCCTTTGGAGTAGTCCCACAATCGTATCAAGAGAGGAGTGTGCTTGCTAGGTGGATCAGGGACCTTGAGGATCTTGTCGATGAGCTTCCTGGCTGCGAATCTCGACCCTGACGCTGGCGCTCTTGTCCATCTTAACGTACGACTTCTTCTTCTCCGACTTCCGCAGTAGTGCACCCTTCACCTTTGATTTAATCGACTCCATCAGAGTCTCCTGCTGGATCCCCATTCCCCTGGCCCTTCCGCATATCTGCAATTCGGTTGCCCGTCCATATGATTAATTGTTTTTATGCTGACAAATCTTGAATCGCTCCTTGACGGATATTAATCGGACGATAACTTGTGGTTTTCTTCTTTTGGACGGCGGCACGGGGAGAGTAGATGGAGAGAGAGACTGAAAAGTAGCGGCGAAGAGGTTAGGAGAGAGAAGAGAAGGTTATAATTATTTTTTTAATTTTTATTTTTTTTTTTAAATTGGCTTGGCATTAAGTTAACGATACATTTAGCAATTCTGTTTGTCATATCATCAAAAAGTTGACGGAGTTAACAGAATCTAACAGAAACTAATGCCTAGTATTGACGGTGAAATGATTCGTAAAGTTAGTGGCGAATAAAAAAGAAAAGTAATTCGAGTGGCAAACGTGAAAGATTTGTATAATTTGAGTGACCAATCGTCTAATTTAGCCATTTTCTGGATTTTCTCTCGAAAACTCAAACAGTAAAGGATACGTGGGGGTAGATACTCGCCACAATCAAGTGTGATCGCTTGATTGATAAGAGTCTTGCCAAGCTCTTTCAGAACCCTCGACAGAAAACTCAAACAAGAATCTTGCCCTAGCTATGGAATCCACCGATAGCTAAAACAATAAACCATAAGCACTCATGCTCTATGAGAAAACTCCTCAGAGTTAAATTTCATTCAACAAAATTCTCTAATGTCTAAAATTCGTGTTTAAAACCCTTTATATAGTCTAGGGAAAATAAAATAACAAAAAACCCAAAAGGAAACAAAAACCTAAACCTAAAAGGAAGGCCAAACTTGGCCAGAGCCGAAACTCGGTCTAAATACCCAATCGGGTATCTTGCTCTTCCAGGTCGGGGAAATTTCCTGCCTCGGAAACTCGGTCTTCTCACCCAAATCCCCGGTCGGGGATTCCTTTCTGCCAGGTCGCAATGCAGTCAAAAGCGCGATTCTATTTAGAAGCGGAAAGAGGGTAAAATCATAAAGCGTAGAATCTAAGCGTAAAAGCGTAAGTTTTTTACGCATATTGTAAAATAACTAAATTTTTTTTAAGTACGACATATACTATGTAGAATATGAATGCACAGAATTTAGATAAGTTAATAAATAGCTGCAATTCATGCTTAAAGTAGAGCACCTTATAGCATGTTAATAATATGTTCATAAACATAAATATTAACAATAAGACACATTCCCCTCTATGCTAATGAATTTGAGAAGATCCTAACTAGTGAATTAGATTACTCTATAGAAGCTGAGAATGCATCCAAGTACGTAGTATTTATCTTTTAATCTCGAATGTATCCTATTGTTGGTGATTTACCTTTAAAATATACTTTTTTATAATTAATTTCATGAAAAGAATACCCATTTACTGAACTAAAAGCGTAAAACTGTAAAGCGTTTTGGTGAACTGGAATCGTAAAAGCGTAAGTTTTTAAGCATTAAAGCGCATTTTAGTACAATTTTATACACTACATATTTTATGTGAAAACGAAAGCGTTTTGGTGACCTAGAAGCGTAAAACCGTAAGTTTTTAAGTTTTAAAGCGCGATTTTGACTGCATTGCCAGGTCGGGTTTTTGCTGCTGGCGTGCTCACATCATCCCCTCCCCGTTGAAGAAGCTTTGCCCTCAAAGCTTTCCATCCTGACTTCCAGATGAAATTCCCTGTATAATCAGCACCTAGAAAGAATAAACATTCTCCACACTCCCACGGAATCAAGAGCTCAAACAATCGATCAAACATGGGTTCCAAATAATGAATGTTGAAGCTCAAGTCCACATGAATGTTTCCGTGAAACCTCCAGCCTGGTTTCCAAGCATAATTGGTTGCTCCAGCGGCTTCCAAACTTGAAGTTCCTCGTCCGAAACCTCCATCCTTCTCTGGACTCAAGGCACCACCATCTGCCTTATTGTCTTCAAAGCAATCAGTCATCCAAATCAAGCTATCAAAGATCAAATCTTGAAGACTCGTGCACTGCAAATCCTGATCATAATCAAATATAAAAGGACCGTGATAGCTCGATTCAACGCGTTCGATTTCAACCTCTTCAGCTTCACCACTTTTCTGTACATCAGAGGCTTCCACCTCCTTCTGATCAGGGAATTGATCGACGACTTCTCTTCTTCGATGGCCTTTTGATCTGGAAGTGTTCTTGCTTCCTCCACCTTCTACTCTTCCTCATAAGCTTGTGGCAGTTGTGTCCTTCCTTCTGCAACCTCTGGTGCGCTAGCTGTTGTTCCTATGCTTGCTGTGAATAGATGCGAGAATTTGGCCATCTGCCCTGCTTCATACTCCCGATGTAATTGTTGCAAGGTCAATCGGAAGTGAATACCTGTTTCATACTTCATACTTCCTCCGGAGATGAAGGTGCCAAAATGAATACCTGTTTCTGGTGCGTCAATCGGAAGTTTTTGGACCTTCTGCTGACCCGATGAACTCCACGGTCTTGGAACCATGGTTGTCCCAGCACAAGGTGATTTGCAAGCCCGTACACCACGTCGCACAAGACCTCGTCTTCGTAGTGTCCAATGGATAATTTTGCAAATGCCTGTGTGACCATGACGCTTGGAATCTGTTCGCCAGGTAGTTGCAGAGTATATGGAATGGGATGGAAACATGTTGGTAGCATCAACTTCTCCACCGTTCTATCGCTGATCAAATTTGATTTGATCCCTCCATCTACCAGCACAGAACTCAACCTCTCTTCAATCAAACAACGAGTGTAGAAAAGATTACCTCGCTCTGCCATTCCCGCCATTGCTAGACCTTCTTCTTTGTCCACTGATTTGAATGAAGCTCTGATACCACTTGATAAGAATCCGAGATCGTGAAAGCTCAGGTTCTTCTATCAAAGTCGCGCAACTTCAATCTTTTTAGGGTTTTCTGAATTTTCTCTCAAAAACTCGAACAGTAAAGATTGAAGCAAATCAGGTCGGAAGCTTCTTACTACATGAAATCATGCATGTTAATCTATAGAGAAAAGGCATTGGGAGATTTATTGGATACCTGGAAGTCATCAGTCGAGAGCCTCAAAGATCGTCTCAAAGGATGTTCCAGACTTGGAGCTGAAGGCAGAATTCTCTCCTTGTTTGATTTGGATTTTCATTCCTTTTTCGTTTAAGCATTGTTTTTCGAGTTCTAGTAGAATTAGGAGGTTTCTTACTCGCTGTTAACCTAGCTATCTATATAAGTACTCGTCAATTGCGTTGTAATGGATCATTGAAGTTTAATAAGAGAACCTTGGTTCATAGAGTTTTCGTACTCTTGAATAGTCCTTGTTGAGTGGATTCAATTCCAGCAACGAGCGAGCTCAGCATCGATTGATTCACCACATCAATCATTGGCGAGTTGCTATCCTATTTTGATCGAGCCTATTCCCCAATTTGGTGTTGAAGTTGCACCTTTCAACACCATCCATTCCCCTATTACTCCTTTTCCTTCATACAAAATTCGGTTTCAACAGCAAGCTTGAGAAGTCGAAAGGTTTTCAAGCTTTGATCAACAAGCCTCGCGGATTGGGGCTTATCAAGTGGTATCTTGAGCTTGGCTCAACTCAGCGGCGCGTGTGACCAACTCCCACTGTGGCAGGAATGACAAATTCGTCGAAGGAAGGCAGCGCGCGGGCACAACAAGGTGGACCTGATCGAAGGGTCCAGTGGATTGTGATCTTGTTGCTGTCCTGGTAGTGGGACAGAAGTTAAAGAAGAAGCAGGCGGCTACATTTGGACTTTCCAACGCAGGGCGATCGTTGGCAGAAGAATCCGTCCGGGATAAGGAGACCGCTTTGGGCGACGATCCTGGCACAACCGAGTGCCATGATCCAAACCCACTTTGACAATCTGAATCAGCAATTGGCCGACCTCAGAGCGATGGTGAACGCCCCTGATAAGCAAAGGGATGTCACTGGGGAAGTTCTGATTCCCGAAGTAGAGATGCGTCCCTTCGTTGAACTGGAAGAAGTTGTTCACCTTGCGATTAAGGTGGAATGACAGCAACGAGCAAGTGCGGGAAGATGGTACTCGAAGTCTGCTCCGAAACACCCCCTGGAACTAATCTTGAGCAGACCCGGTTGGTAGGAGCCAAATTCGCACGCCGCACTACTGCTCCGGTGTCTCACGAGAAGCCGAGAGGATCGACGAGCAGCATCCAATGTTTTGAGTGTTTCAGCAAGGGCCACAAGGCCAACCAGTGTCCAAATAAGAAGGCCTTGGTGCTTCGGTTGGGGAAATCGTTTCCGAAGACGAAGAAGAGGAGGACAGGGATGAAAAGATCGAGTCCGATTCTGAAGTTGACGAGTCAATAGAAGCTGAAACTCCACCCACAAGCAAGCTACTCGCGGTAAATCGTCGAGCTCTTACTCTGGAATCTCGCGCTGACGAAGAACAACGAGACAACTTGTTCCACACTCGTTGTACAGTTGAGGGTAAGCTATTGTCCGTAGTGATCGATGGGGGCAGCTATACTAATGTTGTAAGCTTGGATACTGTCAAAAAGCTCCGGCTAAGTACGATCAGACACCCTCAACCCTATAGCCTTCATTGGATAAATGAATATGGTACCCTCAAAATAAACAAGCAGGACAAAGTACGTTTCAAAACCGGCCTGATTCGGCCCAAATGTACACATTTTACCCCTCATTTCTTATTCGTTTAGCATAGCATTTCATCGTTCATCGACATATTTCACGCTAGGTTGTGCTTGTTTTGATACATTTCAGGTCCTAGCATGTGTGGAAGGGTCGAGGTCGGATTTTGGGATAATTGGAGGTCAAAAAGCGCAAAAAATCGAAGAAAAGTCTGATGTCGTAGCAGTGAAGTGAAGGCGACCAGGAAACAACCGCAGTTCATGGTTGAACAAGGCAGTTCACGGTCTCCGTAGACCGTGAATTTGGACCACAAACCGTGAACATCGAGCAGTCCAGCGAGGTTCCAGAAGTTACTGACGACAAGGCAGTTCACGGTCTCTAAGATTGTGAACTGTGGC